TTTTTCCCCTCAACCCCCGTAACGCCAGGTCTTGTCAGCTGGGGCGTTTCCCTGCGCCTTCGCATGAGGGCTGCTTTGAGGGAGCCTTAGGCAGCAGGAGTACCCAGAGCCTCCAGCCAAGGACGGGTGCTGGCGGGTGAAAACCGTTTCTGGTGGTGGGAGTGGGAGGAAGGTTTTCTCCTGGGCTCAGAGGGACATTGGAGGGGGGAGACACGGCTATGCTGTGAGGCACTGCGCTATCAGGAGCTCCTTCCATGCCTTGGTACCTCGCTGTGGTACAGAAACAGTGTTAAGTATCACTTCCCTTCCTCCCCGCCTTTTTTAATGAATGTTACTGATAATTCTTGCAGGTTTTGTGGTTTACTGTTGCAAGAGACATTGTTAACTGATTAGGTTTACTGTAGTCATGTCAGGATCAGCCCCAGAGGAGCCTCAGATCTCCATTCCTCAGAGCACAGCTAGTGTTCCTGATCCTGCTCCCGTTGCTGTCGGACCTGGAGGGCCAAGTGACATTTCCTTTGGTGAGCAAAATCTTAGCTTCACCACCACAGACGTCAGCCTGGTGGAGATGATGGAAATTGAGTATATGCAGCTGCAGCACATACTTTACTCACATACGGAGATACAAGCTAGCGAAGGTGAAGTGGAAGCTAGGCTCACTTCTTTCTCCCCGCCTGGTAATTCTGCAGCCACCCCTCTGAATACCAGTCAGGAGGGCTGTCCCTCAAGCAGCTCTGGGAGCCAGCCGGTTTGCCCAGTTACATGTCAGTCAGGATTACCTTCTGACAGCCATTTGCTCGGTTCAAACACACATTTGGGCTGTGCTGACTTTCAGGATCTCAGAATGTTGTTGCTTAGCGAGCCTAACATCCCTTTGAACCAGCCAGATAAAATGCCTAACAGTAGCTCTGTAGAAGTCCCAGGACACAGTTTAGTGAAAGTTAAACATGATGAAAATTTTGTTGGGGCGAATAAAGGAAACATACTTGTTGAAAATTCGGCACTGGCACCAGAGCCTAGATCTAAATCTGCAGTCAGAGTTCGGTTGGAAGACAGATTCAGCAGCATCCAGACAGAAAACCCCAGATGTCAAGAACCCCAAGAATCTGGAGTAACTCTTAACAAGTGTGTTGCAATTAATTTTAGTTTATGTTGTTAAACTATGTATCATCATATAGTTCAGAACTGGTTTTCTACACGAAACCTAAGAACAGTACTCTCTTAAATACCTGAGAATGGTGGGTTGAGCTCTTTTAACCTGTGGCTGCAATTCCACTGACCTCAATTTATGCCCCTCTGTATATCGCACATGGTAGAGAATGTAGTTCCAAAATTCATTCCTTTATAACTTTATTCTTGATAACAGCATGTAATGTAAGTAAAGGAGAGAGAAGAACATTACCTAGTTTTAACATACAACTTGCTTAAAGCGAAGTAGATTTTTGATCGTAATAAAATACTGAGAGCAGTTGATCAGTGTTATAATGTGGAGGCCTGACTATGGAGGAAAACTTCAAGCAAAAATACTGTTTTGCAATCTGGCCTGGTAACTATTGGTGTGCTGATGAAGCATATTACTGAGACATAAAGCTGAATTGTTGCTGCACAGAATAGAATACCTTCTCGTCTGGTTTTTTTTTGTCCCTGAAGTAGGCAATATAGCAATAAAAGTGATTTCTGTTTACAGTAAATGAAGTTGGTTTCTTGGTGATAGTTACTAAAAGTACGTGTAGCTGTAAATTTTTCTGTACTCATTCTCAAGTAGTCAGTTTGGTATGTTTTCTGTTTGGTGCTTTTTTTTATTTTTAAGTTTAGTGACACTGGTTCGACAGCCGTCAGAACCGATTGGTGTTCCTCTTCATCAGCAAGACAACAAGTGTGCCGCATTTGGGAAAAGTAAGACGGCACCTGCCACCCCTTCTTTACAGTTCACATACCCGTTATTTACTATGAACACGTGCTCTTCTGCTGGGAGTGCTAATCCTTCACAAGCACAGGTAGAGAACTGTTCGCCACTTGTACTCTGCTAATGTCAAACGATGATGATGTTAACCTCTTAGGTGGGATACGATTCTGAAGGTTTGTGCTAAAGTGTGGCTTGGTTTGAATAGGGCTGCTCAGAAGGATCTGTAATGCAATGTATTTATTCTTACGTTAGTCTTTAAGACCATCAAAAGTCATTTGCCACACAAATCAGTTGTGGGAAACTTATGTCCTTTGTAATAAATAAATAAACATTTTAATAAAGAAATAAGATGTGCATCCAGGCCATTAAAGTTCTCACAGGAAGAGGTTTGGTTTTTTCCTTGAATTTATCAGTATCATCTGCTTCATCTACTCAAGACGAGAAGGAGTCACTTAGTTAGTACCATTTTCTATGGTTTGTTTTTTTTTCTAATTAATTTTGATGAAAAAACCCACCTGACTCGCAGTAACCTCTGAAGCAAGAGTGATAGCACTGCACTCAGAAATGTCAGAGACATTCCCCAAAAATCCAGCAATCTCTTAAAATCCTATGGTTGTGGTGTGCAGAAGTAACTGGGATTTAGTCTGATACAACACAAGAAGTTAACATGAAGATATCAAAATAGTCTATTTTTTATGTATATAAAGGACTTCCTTTTTGGTTTTCACAGACCTCTGGAGCACCTTGCACTATTTTGGACGCTGCCAAACATCAAGACCTTGGGTTACCCAAGACATTGTCTTTCTGCTATCAGGAAGTTGAATCCACAAAACAGGAAGTAGGTGCCATGAATAAACCTTTGCCTGAGGAAGTTTGGCTTAAAGGCGGAGGTAAACCATTTCTCCTCTTTTCTTTTAGCTTGCCCTTGGCATTCGATGTCTGAATGTGTGTTGTTTTTAGAATTAATATGATTTTAGTGAATTGCATGAGGTGTGGTTTCTATGTCTGAGATGTGCTATAGGCAGTATGGGATTAGATTTCTCCAAACAAATTCAACACCTATGATTTTAGCTGTACTTTCAAGATTGTTTAGCACTTCTGGCTTGAAATGAGAAAACCCAATGTTGCAAAATACCTTTGAAAACCTGGGCCTAGCATAAGCCACTGATTTCTTTCTACACTTTTTGACCCCAAAGCTAAAATAGCAGATCCAGGCAGTATCGAACTGAAGAACATCAAGGACTGCCTCAGCTTCTCATCAAAGGCAGGCATGTTCTCCTTGGGTGCTCCTGGAAAATAGAAGCTAGGTGGATTTTGAAACAGCAAGCCGTGCCTTAGGGCTTCCGAGTCAGTCTGGATTGGCAGTAAAACTAAAAAGATTATTCCACATAAATAAAGTGACAAGAAAAATACTTTCACGATCTTAATTTTCAGTGGTTAGTGGGAGAGTTACAACTAGGTCGTCCTTTTCCTCTTTGTTTTTTTCCAAGAAGACACTTTATGCAAGCACTCGATGAATAGAAGAAGTTGCAGCCGAATGAGCCCAAACATAGACCGGAAACCTCTTACTGAAATTCAGAACATGCATGACGTTGGCCAGGGCTCTGCATCTGCCACGTGCTCTTGGCAGCCAGCGCTGTCCAGTTCCAGTCTGCAGGTGCACAGTGGTGCCCAGGATGGGACCGCTCAGCGAAGGGAAAGACATAACCGCATGGAGCGAGACAGAAGGTAATTTGCTTTAGGAGCGGCAAGACAAAGTTTTTGAACTAAAAATAGTAACCTAAAGTAACGATGCTGTAATACTCCTGTCGTTACCCAGAGTAAAATATCAATTTGACAGTTTTTTTGTTTTACCTACAAGACGAAGCGTGAAATGCACGTGGTGAGGTTTTGGTGTTTGTTAGAGGAAGCAAAATTAAAATGTATGTTTCATAGTGGTCATTCTTCTGTAAACAAAAACAAGGATATCAAAACATGTAACCAATTCTATAAAGGTAAGGTAACTTGCATACAACATGACTAACATGCCTGTAGCAAAGAAAAAGAAGTCCCTAAAGTCTGTGGCTTGCAGCCCATGTGAGTGGTCTTCCTTTTTTCCCATTTTTTTCCTTCCTTCTTTCCCATTTAGGCGCAGAATCCGGATTTGTTGTGATGAGCTGAATCTCCTGGTCCCGTTCTGTACCGTTGATACTGATAAGGCAACAACTTTACAATGGACAACGGCGTTTCTGAAGTACATTCGGGAAAGGCACGGTGATTCTCTGAAACAGGTTTTAACTCTCATTTCATTTTTGTTCTTGATAAAACTATGAAATGTTTTAAAGCTAAAAATACATGGAATGCTTCTGCTTGATGCTGTTCGTGGAGGACCTCTGTATCATTGAAACTTCCTTTTGAAAATGCTTCTTTTAGTACCTGTCCTCACAACAGATTCAATTCAGTAGTGGGAAATCGTAGGCTGTCCTCAGTCAAGGTTTTCAAATCAGATTTTTAAATTTACTTATTCTTCTTTAATTTAGCCCAGTTTCTGAGCATGGTGCTATCTGGACAACAACGTAGAATTGAGGTCCTCTTCAGTCATTCCTCCCTTCCCTCCCCTCTTCTCATTAATTTTCTCTATTTTCTCCATGTTTCACGGAGTTGTCTTCTAGCTGGCTTTCAGAAGCTGGTAGTTACATGATAGGGTTCACAGCTGTGTGCCCACACTGTTTCAGAGTGGGTGATAGTAAAGGTTTTGGTGCCCTGTAAGTAGCTCTCATACATCTATATCCAGTAGTTGCAGCCCCAGAGTAATTCAGGCTCTGCTGCCTGTCTGAAGAGAGTAGATGTAGGTGTATTTTTTTTTCCAAGACACGAGTAAAACAAAACCATATAACTCAAGCAAGTACCTACATTAAACGTGATTGTTTTGTTTTGTTTTTATTTTGGTTTTTTTTAGGAATTTGAGACTGTGTTCTGTGCTAAAACAGGCAGGAGACTAAAAATAGCAAGATCAGACTCGTTTGTAACATGTCCAATGCAGGAAAACACACGTGTCTACGGAGACCAAGTAGTCTGACCTGACTGCCTTGAATTGTATGACAAATGTGGCTCATTAACAATGGCCCAAGCTGTATTACATTTTCTCAGTTTACATGCTGAATATGAATTGCAAAGCACAACTAGTAAAAATATATATAAGTAGAGCTTTAAAGAAAACATTCTTTATTCAAAATAGAAATGAAAGTTAACTATCAGTAACAGAAGTCAGTGCTCTGAAAGGGGCGTTGAAACCAGAAGCTACACAAAAAGGCCATGACAGCTAAGTATTTTTCCTCTTTAGTTATTTAAAAATATGTTCTTTTTTCTGTTTATGGTTCTGCTTTGGGTTTTCTTTGTTATAGCTTTTTTTTAAAAAAAAAGATTATCCTGTTAGGAATAGTTGTAGAACATCAATCCTTCCTGTTATTTTAATGAGTAAAGGTGCTAAGGTACTCTTCAAATGTAAAAAGAACTTAAAGTTACTGTATTATAATGACCACTTTTTCTGTTAAAAATTTAAAGGTTGCGTTAGTTAATTGAGTAAGTGCATAGTTTTTAAACTGCTAATTTTATGAAGTTCATATTTACCATATATGTTTTAACACGCTTGGTCCCGCAGCGTAATACAATGCTGTTTGTTAGCATTTCTTTTTAAATACAGTACTGTTTTTAGTGTCTGTCACACAACTGTCCAACACATTCTTGTAGTGTTACTTTAGTCCGACAGTGGCATATTGTAAACAGATTATTTAAGTGCAGAAATTATTTTCGTATTTAAAGATTAATATATCTCCTTTGTTCATAAGCTTTAGGGTATAGGGCAGAAATAGAGTAGTGTGTGAGCTGAGACTGGTTTTATTAATTTTTTTTAAATAGATGATGCTAGCGGGTTTTAAAGTAGAAAAAGGTCTCCCAAAATAAATGCTGTTTTAAATCACAGATATAGACAATTTTGCAGCAATTTATTTCCGAACCATCCTAGTAAAACCAGTTCTGGAACAAGGAGTTGAGCTGAGTTAACTTGGTGTGTATAATGACACTTACAACATCACAAAGAAAAGGTTAAAAAAAAACTCCTTTTATTTTTACAACAGTTCATACAGTTTTTTTGGCTGGACTGTAAAAGAGCATCTTTTCTTATTTGGGGCTTCATTCACAATTACTGTGCAAATAGCTTAAGTAGAGGTTGTGAAAATGCTGATACTTCATTTCCTTCGTTATCATATGGAAATGTCCAAACTTCTCCCCTGTAGATTAGAATAGATACACGACACCTTTGGCAAGAATTTGTTTGCAAGAGGATTACTATTTACTAGTCTTGGCAAATATTTGAGGTGCAGTCTGATAACTGACTACATACATAAGCTGTGGTCTTTACTTAGGCCAGAATCTTAAGTTATTAAAATATAGGATATTTAAGTGCCTGATTTCCACTGATGTAAGTAGCATTTTGTCCAAATACCTTAACAACGTCTATCTTAGTGCACAAACCCGCATCACAGAAGTCGGTGGGAGCAGCCCCAAGGAATTCAGTTGTACAGAAAAGCCGTGATCTTTAATGTACAGTTAGGGGGAGCGATGGTAAAAAGGAACAAGACTTCCTCTTGCAGATCTCTTGAACAAAGGGAGAAAGGGAAGGTGAGGTGGTTTAGCAGTAAAAATTCTGGAAAATAGTTGAGGGGAGGAGAAAAATACTCATAAAGCATCTTTTAATTAAAGTTTTCATCTGATGCTTGCTTTTTCATAGAACTGTGTCAAAGTCTCCACTTAAAATAAGAGAAGGAACATCTGTCCGTTTACCACTAGGAGGATTCTGTCTGCTCTCTTACAATGCACTCTTTATTTAAATACTCAGTCACTTCTTCACTTCTTGCACTGTTGTTTTACGATTTTTTGGAAGTTGATGCTCCAACAGCTCCCATGCAAGCCGATGTGTCACATATTCCTGGGGTTCCCTGAGCCCCAATAGCACCACGAGTACCAGGATCCCCTGGGAGGCCGGGTTCACCCTGAGCGCCATCACGACCATTTTTAGTGATTCCAGGTACACCAGGTGGTCCTAAACGAGAAGGGGAAAAGACTGCATTAATTATTTATTTCCTTCCTTTTTTAAAATAT